GGCCGGAAAAACATAGAACCTAGCTAGAGCACCACCTAACTGGCCTCCACCTCTAAGACGACCCCTACCCACCTGCCCTCCGCCTCTGGGCGGCCGAACAATTGGCGTGGCAGCTAGTGCTATAATTATAGGCTGCTGACCCTGTTGCACTGCCTTGCCTAGAAGCCTAGGGCAGAACCTACTCATATGACCAAGATCCCCGCACTCGAAACAACCTCTCGGTATGGCAAACTGTTGACCTGAAGTATGATCCGGATGGCCTGAAGGCCTACTGGAGGAATCCTGAATAGATGGTGGATGGTTGGAGCTCTCTGGAATGGCGCTAAAATAGGGCCGCACTGGATCACCGCAAGGAGGCGGCGGTGCTGGATATGTGGGCCTTCTAGACTGACCCTTCACAAACTGACCCCTGCCCCCAGTCGGGGCACCACTGAACTCCCTAGAATATCAAAATCGCTTATCCCTTGTCGCCTGCTCTCGGCTCCGCTGACGGACACCCTCGATTCTCCAAGCTATCTCCACAACTAGCTTGTAAGAAGTCCCCATCTCAACCTCTCAGGCCATAGTGTCCTGGATACCAGAATGCAAATGGCGACAAACCTCCGCACTCTCTCTGCATCGGTAGGAAGTATCATAAGTGCATGACGAGACAACCCAAAAAATCTCACCTCATAGTCGATCACCGACATCTGGAGCTGATCGAACTGAAATCGCAACTCTTCCCTCTGAGAGGGTGGAATATGTCTGTCCAAGAAGAGGCGTGTGAATTGGTCCCAAGTCATGGGAGGAGAACCTGCTGGTTTGCCGAGAAGATAGGACTTCCACCATCTACGGGCCCTGCCCTCCAACTGAAAGGTGGTAAAGTCCACCTCGTGGGACTCCAATATCTTCATGTTGTTCATTTTATCCCTGCACCGATCAATAAAGTCCTGGGGGTCCTCATGCCGCTGACCTCCAAATACAGGAGGATGTATCCTAGTCCATCTGTCCAATAGCTTCTACGGCTCGTTGGCCGAAGCTGGCCTGGGCTCAGGTATGGCTGTTGCAACTGGATAGGCTTCACCCACGGGTAGTGCGCCCGAGGTGTGATATGCGGTAGCTGCATGCCCTGGAGCCTGAGCGGTAGGGGTCTGTTCCCCCCCGCCTGAGATGTGGCTGGGTCTGCTGGAAATAAACCAGCCTGAGTCATAGAATCCATGAACCGCAGCATACGGCCCATGACCTCCTGGAATCCCGACGCAGACATGAAATCCACTAGGCTTGGCTCTGTTGTAGGCACCTTGTCGTGCTCCTCAATAATAAGATCCTCTACTGGATCCATTGGTGGCACAACTGGGGAATCTCTGGGAGGTCCTCGTCCTCTACCACGAGCTAGAGCCCTCCCTCGGCCTCTAGCAACAGGGGGAGCAGCTCCTCCATGATCGGGAGCATTTTCCACGCATGTTCTCACCATCTGTGAGGGAATAAGAGAAAGATACTTAGCACAACATCAACTGAACGATAAGAGATGAAGAAAGAGTAGTTTCCTAATACCCTATAGCCTCTCAAAGATAAGTACGGACGTCTACGCACTGATCTGCAAGACTCTATTAGGCATGCTCATAACTTGTGAGACCTACGTGAACCTAGTTCTTTGATACTATGTTGTCACGACCCAGTTTCTCCTATAGGTCGCGATGGCGCCCAACGTCGCCACTAGGAAAGCCAACGTTGAACTAATCGTGTAATTGCTCTTTTTAAGAAAATTTCCAAGTAGTTGAATTCCATTTATTAAGAAAATGAGGAGTAGAAAAATTTAATAAAGTAAAACGAAGGCTAATGAGTGAAAAAAATACGGTGACATAAATACTCCAAAACCATAAAGTCTACTAGTATGTGCTCCAAGACTTGGTGTCATAGATGTATGAACAACTAGTAGAATATACAAAACTCTAACTACTGTCTAAAATAAAAGTAGACAGAAAATAGATGAAAAAGAGACACCCTAGGTGTTGTAGAACAACTCAGAAATCAGCTCACCACTGGGCCTCGGGGTAACAGGGGTGCGCGCCGATATGACCGTCAGATGCACCTGCCTTAGATCCTGCACAATTAGTACAGAAGTGTAGCGTGAGTACATAAATAACATTTACCTAGTAAGTATCTAGTCTAACCTCGAAGAAGTAGTGACGAGGGTCGACAATGACACTTACTATGGGCTAATAATAAAATATAGAAGTTCAATATTAGCATGGTTTATGTGAATAATAATAATAATAACTCAGTAACAAGAAGTGAATAAACAATTTTCTCACTAATAGTAAATCCTAAGTCAATTTCTGTCATAAAATAATTATAACTTCTCAAGCCTTAAAATAATATCAAGTATAATTAGGCTCCGAGTATTATCACGCATGATTTATGTCGAGGTCGTACGACCCAATCCATAATAATATGTATATTGCCGAGGGTCGAGCGACACGAACCATAGATTCATCTATTCTACTGCCGAGACGTTCGGCCCGCTCCACACGAAGGGAGGATACTTTATGAACATCCGATTTAAAATCTATTACAAGGCTAATACACAAAGAAGCACAATATCTATTAATGGTCAAGTAATCCGCCAATACTCAAGTAAGTGAAATTTGGTCTTTTACAATTCCTCTATCAAGTTTCAATATAATTTAGGCACTTTAATTAACAAGTAGGGTGCAAACATTATAAGTATTTTTTTGATTTGGGTTCTAAACTACCGGACATAAGCATAATTAGTATCCACGCACGGACTCTCGTCACTCCATGCATACGTAGCCCCCAAAATTAGAAGAAAATAGTAATTTAAATCACATATGTGGTAAATTCCCTCATACAAGGTTAGGCAAGAGACTTAACTCGTCTGAAAGCTCACTTTCCGGCCTCAAATTCACTCTAAGAACCCAACTTGGTGCCGAACAATCCGAAGTTAGCCAAATATTATATAAAATAATCAATATACACTCAAAGATTAATAATTTAGCTATTAGATCAATTACCCAACCCACGTGCCCGGATTTCGAAAATGTTTGAAGGTAATTGTTACCCATAACCTCACGAACTCAAATATATAATTTTCACTCAATTCTATAACCATTTTCTTGGCTAAATCCCATTTTTATCAAAACCTAAGTTTTTCCACTAAACCCACAATTTCTACACTTTATATGCTAAGAATCTACCCAAAAATACATGTATTAAACTCATATCATATAGAAATTAATTACTTCAAAGTGCTAGGTGAAAGAACCCCTCTCTAAGAAGCTTCAAAATCACCCAAGAAGTAAAATAAATGAACAAAAATGGCGTAAGTCCCGTCTTAAAAGAACCTCACTTCCCCAGCAATTTTTGCTTCTACGGAACATCGACCGCTTCTGTGGACAAAGCCTCGCAAATGCGGTCCATGCCCAGGTCCTCCCTTCTTGCTTCTGTGGGCGAAGTCTCGCTTTTGCGAGCCTGCCTCTGCGGCGCAAGATCCACTCCTATGCACCCTCCCGCTTCTGCGATCAACTTCCTCACATCTGCGCCTTCGCAGATGCAAGACGTTCCTCGCTTCTGCGACCACTGGGCAGTCCACTCCATTTCGCTTATGCGGTCATTGGCTCACTTCTGCGAGCTCGCATCTGCGGCTGGTTCGTCGTAGGTATGATTGCACCAGAAGCTCTGCTGCTTCAGCTATATTCTCCAAGTCCAAACGAGTTCCGCTCATCGTCTAAATGGCATCTGGGGGCCCCGGGGCATCGCCCAAACATACCAACAAGTTCGTAACCACAAGACAAACCTGGTTGACCTCTCGAAACATAGAAAATAACACCAAAACTAAGAATCATACTCCAAACCAAATCAAATCAACTTATGAATTTCAAGTTCTTCCAACTTATTTCGAGCGTGCCGAATCATACTTAAACTACTCGGAATGAGACTAAATTTTGTGTGCAAGTATTAAATCACTATACGTAACTATTCCTGGGCTCGAAATCCTAAACGGACCTCAATAATACCAAAACCTACTTCAAACCAAATTTTAAGAACTTTAAAATCTTCAATGCGCCAACTTTCAACTTTATGCGCTGAAACGCTCCCAGGTCATCCAAAACCCAATCCGAATACACGCCCAAGTCCAAAATTATCATACAAACCAATTGGGACTGAAAAATCCCGGTTTCCCAAGTCAAACATAACCCTTTTAAGCCAATATTAAGGAACTACATATTTCGATTTTAACCCGAACACTTCCAAACCCGAACTTAGCCATCCCCGCAAGTCATAAAACAGCAAAAGCATGTACGGGGAGTCTTATTTAGGGGAACAAGGATCTAAAAAGCAAAATGACTGGTCAGGTCGTTATAATTCAATTGACTCTTTTGAGATGCTTACAGATTCATTCATTAAGGCCCATGCCGGGGCAAGGAAGGTCCAAGCCAGGAAGGTCAACATATTCAGGATAACGCAAGGTGAGTCCGAATTGCTGCAAGAATTCACGATTTGGTATCAGAAAGAGAGGATGTTCCTACCGCATATACCAGATGAGTGGGTAGCGGAGGTGTTCACTAAGGGTTTGAATCTGTGGAGCTCTAACGCCTCCCGAAATCTGAAGGAAAAACTGTTCAAATTCCTAGAAACCAAATAGGCTGGTGTCCACAACCGTTATGAGTCAAAAATAAGGATAGAAGACGATCAACTCGGATTTCCGACATCAACTAAGGGACAAGACTGAGACAAGAACCGACACAAGTCTAAAAGCGACTTCTTTGCAGGTTGGTGGTCTTCTAAAGTTTGTTTCCTGTCATATGAATAATCGAGGGCCACTGCAACAGCCGCAAAGGATTTCGATCCTCAGATAAGTTCGCTCCCAATAGAAGAACCGACCATGGCCGAAGTAGCAGGTCGTTTCAAGAAAAAAGGTACCAGGGCCCCCAGACTCTACATATCCCAGGTTATCGAATTACAACTTTAACATCAGCTTAGTGGAGTTGGTATCGTCAATGAGAAATATCAAAGAAGCACGATTCCCAAAGCCAATCAAATCTGATCCCAGCCAAAGGGATCATAACTTGTGGTGTGAATATCATGGGACTCACGCTCATAGAACTGGGGATTATCAGCATCTACGGGAAGAAGTAGCGATGTTATTGAAGAATGGCCATCTCAGGAAATTTTTAAGTGATCGATCCAGGAACAACTACGGCAGAAGCCAGGATAATACAGAACCTTCAAAGGTGGAAGAGGATTCCCCTCGATTGACTATCAACATGATTTTCGGGGAAAACAAAATCAACAGTGTGACCTACTCGGAGGCCAAGAAAATATCGGTGACTCACAATAAGAGACTCCGGAAAGTCGTAGAAGATGATATCACCTTCACGGAGGAAGATGCTGATGGACTTCTTTTGCCACATAATGACGCTCTGGTAATCTTTCTTAATGTTTTAGATTTCAAAATTAAGCATGTTTTGGTTGACCCATGAAGCTCAGTCAACATCATCCAATAGAGAGTGTTGGAACGAGCACAACTGACTGGAAGCATCATTCTATCAACAAAACTCTTAGCTAGGTTCAACCTGACAAGTTTGACAACCCGAGGAGAGATCCTACTGCCCATGAACGCCAAAGGGGTAATTAAGACAACATTATTCTAAGTGGTAGATTGAGACATGGGCTACAATATAATCCTCGGGAGGCAATGGATACACGAGATGAAAAGGCATGTCAGGAACAGGTTTGTTAAAGAAGAAGTAACCCGATTACTCAATATCGGTTCCATACAAGAGGTAAAATATCCAGAATGGTTAGCCAATGTGGTTGCAGTTCTAAAGAAGAATAACAAGTTTAGAATGTGCGTAGATTATAAGGATTTAAATAAGGCATTCCCTAAGAACTCATTTCTATAGCCAGACATGAGTTGATGAGTTTCCCTGATGCATACGCTGGGTATAATCAAATTAAGATGAACCCGGAGGATCAGGAAAACACTTCTTTCATAATGAACTTTGGAATATTTTGCTATAATGTGATGTCATTTGGGCTTAATAACATCAGAGCCACTTATTAGAGGCTCGTTAACAAAATGTTTGAAAGTCAGATAGGCAAGACAATAAAATTATACATTGATGACATGTTAGTCAAGTCTTTGAATGCATACGATCATTTGAAGCATCTCCAAGAAACCTTCGATATCATGAGGAAGCATAACATGAAACTCAACCCGAAAAAATGTGCGTTCATGGTTGGCTGAGAAACATTCTTGGGGTTCCTGGTCTCTCAAAGAGGGATCGAGGTAAATCCCGACAAAATCAAAGCCATCAAAGATATCTCGGACCAGCTGACGAACGTAAAAGAGGTGCAGAGATTAACTGGAAGGTTAGCAGCCTTAAGCAGGTTTATCTTAAGATCCTCCAAAAAGTATCATCACTTCTTCTCACTCCTAAAAAGGATGAACAATTTCGAGTGGACCCCAGAATGCCAACATGCATTAAAAGACGTAAAAAGGTACTTGTCTAGTCCCCCGTTACTGTCGAAATCGGGTGAATGGGAGCAATTGTTAATATACCTAGCGGTCTCGAAAGTGGCGGTAAGTGTCGTTTTAGTCTGAGAAGAAGAAGGTATGCAATTTTCCGTTTATTATGTTAGCAAAATATTATCAAGAGCGGAGACTCGATATCCACACCTTGAAAAGATGACCTTATCTCTCGTAGTCTTTTGAAAGCTTAGGCCTCATTTTCAGTGTCACCCTTATAGCCATTGTGACAATCTTTCCCTTAAGGAATGTCCTTCACAAGCCTGAGTTGTCAAGCCGTTTGGCAAAATGGGCAGTCAAAATTAGTGAGTTCGAAATTGAGTACAAACCCAAGACTGTGATCAAGTCACAAGTTTTGGCCGACTTTGTGACAGGTTTCAGTCCCGGGTTAATACACTCGGCTGCTAAAGAAGCAGTATTGGTGTTGGAAATGACATCGGAGGTCTGGACCTTGTTTACAGATGGAGCTTCCAACGTAAAGGGGTCTAGTCTCGGGGTAGTTCTAGTCACGCCCTCGGGAGAAACCCTGAGGCAGGCCATCAAGACCGTTCCATTAACTAACAATGAAGCCAAGTATAAGGCTTTGGTTGCAGGACTTGAATTGGCACGGGGGCTAGACTCTGAGGTCATCGAGATAAAATCTGATTCCCAACTGGTAATAAACCAAGTATACAGGATTTTTGACATAAAGGAAGAGCGCATGCAGCAGTATGTGAACAAGGTGCAAGCATTGGTAGCACGATTCAGGAATGGTCGATCATAAACATTCCAAGGGAAGAAAATGTGGAAGAAGATGCATTCAGTATTGGATGTGGACTGTTACTGTGAAGTCAAATCAACCAATCTAATCTAGTACTAGAGGTATGAGTTCGTCAAATATCTTCGGCATAGCAAATTACTCGAAAACCTGAAGGCGTCCTGGGCACTACAAACCAAAGCGACTCATTACTGCCTCGTGGATGGGCAATTATATAGAAGATCATATCAAGGTCCATTGGCCCTATATCCGGGAGCCTTGGAGGCGGACTACGTGGTGAGAGAAGTCCACGAAAGAATTTGCGAGAACCATTCCAGTGCAGATTCGTTAGTTCTAAAGCTGATTAGGTGTCACGACCCAAAACTCAACATGTCGTGATGACGCCTATCACAGAACTAGGCAAGCCAACAATAACAATAAAACTAGGCATTTTTATATTAAAAATGAGATAAAGCAAGTTTAACAGTAATAACTCTCATACATAGCCGATATGAACAACTACAACTCAAACACAAACTTTCCCAAAATTCGAGTGTCAGTGAGTACATGAGCATCTATACAATAACATAGTCTGAAACACCATCTAGGAAGGCATAACAGTATTAGTAAAGCTAAAAGATAGAGGAGGAGAGTCAAGGTCTACGGACGCCAAAGCAGCTACCTCGAAAATCTCTGAACTAAAAACTCCAAAAACAAATTAGCAACCACCGTGCCCGAAAATACCCGGATCTGCACACGAAGTGCAAAGTGTAGTGTAAGTACAACCAACTCAATAAGTAACAAAACTAACCTTTAGGCTGAAAGTAGTGGTGAGCTCAACCAATACAGTGCAAATACACAGTTTAACAGTACAGAAATGACAGGAGATAAGACAACAATATCTCAGAGAAAACTCATAATCTATTCATACATAGTACATGAAATATAGACATGCTTCCAGATTTAACATTTAAGCTGAACACAGATAAAATATGCCAAGTATGACTGATATGAGAAATATGACATCTCTATATCTATATGCCAATATGCATACCGTATGTGATGCGACACAAGGAAAACCTCACGTACTCACACTCTTAGAGTACTCAAGCTAGCTGTCTCAATTCTCGCTCATCACACTCAGTCACTCAGCACTATACGGTGCCTGCACTCATTGCTGGCATGTCAGACTCTGGAGGGGCAGATAATGCTGCGGTGTGCAGCCCGATCCCGAAACAATAAAGCCTAAAAGGCATGATGCGACATGTAGCCCGATCCACATATAGCCATAAGGCCTGATGCGGCGTGCAACTAGATCTAAAAATCTCACTCACAACACGTCTCTCAGCCCCAACTCAGTCATCAATCTCTCCAGTCTCTCGGGGTCACAAATCTCATGCCAACTAGCCTAACAATGATATATAACACAAAAATAATAGTGACAGAGACTGAGATATGGTATGCAAATGATGGATGTGACTGAGTACAAAATTGCCATCTAAGCAAATAATTCAATAGCAATAATGACCACATTAGGTCTCAATAGGATAAGCACATAGCCTAACATGATTTCTAACATGAATTGGTAGCTCATCTACTCTAACACATAGAGATCACATGAATGGCTACAAGGTCTGATGACTACACAGTACCACGAAATCAACCGGATCACAATTTCTATGGTGGACGTCTGTCACCTAACATGTGTGTCACCTCAACACCAACCACATAACACGTAATTCAGGGATTCATACCCTCAGAACCAAGTTTAGAAGTGTTACTTACCTCAAAACATACTAAACTCTACTTCAATAAGTCATTGCCTCGCGAATCCGCCTCTGAACGCCTCGAATCTAGCCACAAACAATTCGATACAATCAACTCAAAACATAGGAATCAAGTCCATATGAAAATGATAAGTTCTTAATCAAAAGTCAAAAAGTCAGCTACGGGCCCACGTCTCGAAATTATAATACAAGTTGCAAAATCCGAATACACATTCAACCACGAGTTCAACCAAACTAAATTTATCAAATTCCGACACCAAATCGTCCTTCAAATCCCCAAATTCACTCTCCAATCCCTAGCCTAAAACTCCCAAATTCTACCTTAAAAACACATAAACTAGGTGGAAAATTCAATAGGTAATCAATATTATTGAATAAAAATGATCAAAAGTGGCTTACCTCAAGAAATCATTCGAAACCCCTCTCAAATATCGCCTCCAACCGAGCTTGCAAAGTCCAAAACTAATAAAATCGCAGAACCCTTGAATTTAAACACTGCCCAGGCCCTTTCGCACCTGCAGCCATTTCTCCTCTTTTGTGATACCACTTCTGCAGTCGAATTTACGCATCTGTGGAGCTCACTTAAACTCCGCCCCACCGCTTCTGTGGTCCAAAGCCCGCATCTACGGACACACTTCTGTGCAATAATATCTGCTTCTATGGACTTCCAATCCCAGCTCACCCTCCACTTCTGCGGGACCAAACACGCATCTGCGGCATACTCCTCGCACCTGTGACCCATCAGCAGCCTAACAAAATGCACATCTGCGACCCCTAGGCCACGTCTGCGGCGTCGCACCTAAGGAAAATCCCTCACAGGTGCGATTTCACCAGAGCTGAAGCACCAGCATTTACCTAAGTCCAATTCTCAACCCGAATTCAATCTGAATCAGATCCGAGGCCCCGAGGACCTCAACCAAATATACCAACAAGTCCTAAAACACAATACAAGCCTAGTCGAGGCCTCAAATCACATCAAACAACATCAAAAATATAAATCACACCTCAATTCAAGCCTAATGAAAACTAATGAATTCCAATTTCTACAACCGACACCGAAATCTATCAAATCAATTCTCATTGACCTCAAATTTCGCACACAAGATAAATGACACAATGGACCTATTCCAACTTCTAGAACCAAAATCCGAGCTCGGTAACCACAAAATCAACTGTCGTTCAAACCTTTAAACTCTCCAAACTTCTAATTTTCCAACCTTCGCCATGTCAAACCAAAATCACCCACGGAATTCTAAATCAATATTTGAACACACTCCTAAGTCCAAAATCACCATACGGAGCTATCGAAATCATCAAAACTTTATTTCGGAGTCGTTTACACATAAGTCAAGGGGAACCGTATATGAGAAACACCTTTCTCTCTCGTATATGGATCGGAAGCTCTGATACCAGTGAAGGGGAACCAACTTTAAGGTTTTCCTGAACAAACGAAGTAGCAAATAATGAAGTATTGCTGGGGAGGCTGGACTTGCTAGACGAACTCAAGGACTTGGCGTACGTGAGGTGGCGGCTAAAAAAAAAGGATGGAAAGATATTATAATCGGAGGGTCAACCTCCGTCAC